CTAACACAGACATATAACATAGTCATCCTCTATATAAGTACCTGTGTATACTTTGCCTAATACAGACATATAACATAGTCCTACTCTATATCAGTACCTGTATATACTTTGCCTAATACAGACATATAACATAGTCCTACTCTATATCAGTACCTGTATATACTTTGTCTAACAAAGACAAATAACATAGTCATCCTCTATATAAGTACCAGTGTATACTTTGCCTAATACAGACATATAACATAGTCCTACTCTATACAAGTCCCTGTATATACTTTGTTTAACACAGACATATAACATAATCCTACTCTATATAAGTACCTGTGTATACTAACACAGACATATAACATAGTCCTACTCTATACAAGTCCCTGTATATACTTTGTTTAACACAGACATATAACATAATCCTACTCTATATAAGTACCTGTGTATACTATAGTCATCCTCTATATAAGTACCTGTGTATCCTTTGCCTAATACAGACATATAACATAGTCCTACTCTATATAAGTACCTGTTTATACTTTGTCTAACACAGACATATAACATAGTCATCCTGTATATAAGTACCTGTATATACTAACACGGACATATAACATAGACCTACTCTATAATAAGTACCTGTAAATACTTTGTTTTTTTAGAGCTATCCACCTGCTTCACCTCGGTATCGACGATGACTGATGCCACACTTAGTGCTGGTACATATCAAGGAATGACTGCTGCAACTGATTGTGCCGGGAGGTGTTCAGAAGCCAATTGTGTAGGTTACCGATACTATCCGAACTCGGCATGCGTATTAGGACTTGCTTCCCTAGGCAAGGTCTACACCAAAGGTGGTACAGACAAATACATGAAAGGTACGTATGATATGGTGTGTGCACTATCAGGAATATCATGAACTGGTTTATTTTGTGTATGCCTTACGTCCATAGTCATTTAAGGGCGTGCCTGTTGTAGTAAAAGCGGAGTACCTGGAGAGAAAAAACTACTGACCTTCGTCGAGAACCCTGGCGTTTCGCCTCGGGAAAAAGTTAATGTCTCGGGGGACAATACAAGTGCTATTTCTCTCACACCTATACACTGTATATTATACTGTATACAGGGTAACGTACAGTATATATTCTTTTACATACTGTATTAAAGGATATATGTACATATACTGTATATATGTGCAAGGTTACGAATATTGTTACATGGTTAATGACACTATATACATGTACATGGTTATATAATATATACTGTATACAAGGCTATATACTGTATACAAGGCTATATAATGTATACAAGGCAGTATAGGGTAGACCGGGTTATAATGTATATATACTGTATACAGGGTTATACTGTATTACGGGTTTATATATACTGTATACAGGGTTATACTATATTACGGGTTTATATATACTGTATACAGGATTAAACCTACTGTATACAGAGTTAAACATACTGTATACAGGGTTAAATATGCTTTATAAACGGTTAAAAATACTGTATACATGGTTAAATTTACTGTATACGGGATCATATATACCGTTTACAGGATTAAACATACTGTATATAGGGTTAAAAATACTGTATACATGGTTAAATATACTGTATACGGGGTCATATATACCGTTTACAGGATTAAACATACTGTATATAGGGTTAAACATACTGTATACAGGGTTAAATATACTGTATACAGGATTAAACCTACTGTATACAGGGTTAAACATACTGTATACGGGGTTATATATACAGTATACAGGATTAAACCTACTGTATGCAGGGTTAAACATATTGTATACGGGGTTATACATACTGTATACAGGATTAAACCTACTGTATACAGGGTTAAACATACTATAAACAGGGTCAATATACTGTATACGGGGTCATATATACTGTATACAGGATTAAACCTATTGTATACAGAGTTAAACATACTGTAAACAGGGTTAAACATACAGTATACGGGGTCAGATATACCGTATACAGGATTAAACCTACTGTATATAGGGTTAAACATACTGTATACGGGGTTGTATATACTGTATACAGGAGTAAACCTACTGTATACAGGGTTAAACATACTATAAACAGGGTTAAATATACTGTATACGGGGTCAGATATACTGTATACAGGATTAAACCTACTGTATGCAGGGTTAAACATACTGTATGCAGGGTTAAACATACTGTATAAGGGGTTATACATACTGTATACAGGATTAAACATACTGTATACAGGGTTAAACAAACGGTATACAGGGTTAAATATACTGTATACGGGGTCATATATACTGTATACAGGATTAAACCTACTGTGTACAGGATTAAACGTACTGTATATAGGGTTAAATATACTGTATACAGGGTTAGATATACTGTATACGGAGTTAAAAATACTGTATACCTGGTTAAACCTACTGTATACGGGGTTAAATATACTGTATACGGGGTTAAATATACTGTATACGGGGTTAATATAAGTATACTGTATACAGGGTGAAATAAACTGTATACAGGGTAATATATGTTGTATACAGAGTTATATATGTTGTATTCAGGGTTATATATGCTGTATACAGGATTACACATAATATATACAGGGTTAAATATACCTTATACAGGGTTATATATATTCTGTTAACAGGGTTAAACATACTGTACACAGGGTAAAACATACTGTATCTCGGGTTAAACAGACTTTATACAAGGTTAAATATATGGGGCAAAGAAGTAATTCCAACAGTGTGGACAAATTTAGGTTGTCAAATTTTCGGAGCGATCCGCTCCATTATCAAGACAAAGTGAAACAGGACACTACATACCCAACAATTTCCAGGTATAGTAACACTACATACCCAACAATTTCCAGGTATAGTAAAACAACATACCCAACAATATCCAGTAGAGTTACACTACATACCCAACAATATCCAGGTATAGTAACACTACATACCCAACAATTTCCAGGTATAGTAAAACTACATACCCAACAATATCCAGTAGAGTTGCACTACATACCCAACAATCTCCATTACAGTAACACTACATATCCAACAATATCCAGTACAGTAACACTACATCCCCAACAATATCAAGTAGAGTTACACTACATACCCAACAATATCCAGTACATTAACACTACATACCCAACAATATCCAGGCATAGTAACACTACATACCCAACAATTTCCAGGTATAGTAAGACTACATACCCAACAATATCCAGGTATAGCAACACTACATACCCAACAATTTCCAGGTATAGTAACACTACATACCCAGCAATATCCAGGTATAGTAACACTACATCCCCAACAATTTCCAGGTATAGTAAAACTACATACTCAACAATATCCAGTAGAGTTGCACTACATACCCAATAATCTCCATTACAGTAACACTACATACCAAACAATAGTCAGTACAGTAACACTACATACCCAACAATATCCAGGCATAGTAACACTACATACCCAACAATTTCCAGGTATAGTAAGACTACATACCCAACAATATCCAGGTATAGCAACACTACATACCCAACAATTTCCAGGTATAGTAACACTACATACCCAACAATATTCCATTACAGTAACACTACATACCCAACAATCTCTAGTACAGTAACACTATATACCCAACAATATCCAGTACAGTAACACTGCATACCCAACAATATCCAGTAGAGTAACTCTACATACCCAACAATATCCAGTACAGCAACACTACATACCCAAAAATCTCCATTACAGTAACACTACATCCCCAACAATATCCAGTACAGTAACACTACATAACCAACAATATCCAGTAGAGTTACACTACATACCCAACAATATCCAGTATAGTAACACTGCATACCCAACAATATCCAGTAGAGTAACACTACATACCCAACAATCTCCATTACAGTTACACTACATACCCAACAATCTCCAGTATAGTAACACTACATACCCACATAACAGTAACACTACATACCCAACAATATCCAGTATAGTAATACAGTAACACTACATACCCAACAATCTCTAGTACAGTAACACTATATACCCAACAATATCCAGTACAGTAACACTACATACCCAACAATATTCAGTACAGTAACACTACATACCCAACAATATCCAGTAGAGTTGTACTACATACCCAACAATATCCAGTACAGTAACACTACATACCCAAAAATCTCCATTACAGTAACACTACATACCCAAAAATCTCCATTACAGTAACACTACATACCCAACAATCTCCATTACAGTAACACTACAAACCCAACAATTTCCAGTACAGTAACACTACATACCCAACAATCTCCATTACAGTAACACGACAAACCCAACAATTTCCAGTACAGTAACATTACATACCCAACAATCTCCATTACAGTTACACTACGTACCTAACAATATCCAGTAGAGTTGTACTACATACCCAAAAATCTCCATTACAGTAACACTACATACCCAACAATCTCCATTACAGTTACACTACGTACCTAACAATATCCAGTAGAGTTGTACTACATACCCAAAAATCTCCATTACAGTAACACTACATACCCAACAATATCCAGTATAGTTACACTGCATACCCAACAATATCCATAAGAGTTGCACTACATACCCAACAATATCCAGTACAGTAACACTTCATACCCAACAATATCCATTACAGTAACACTACATACCAAACAATATCCATTACAGTAACACTACATATCCAACAATAGCCAGTACAGTAACACTACATACCCAACAATATCCATTATAGTTACACTGCATACCCAACAATATCCATAAGAGTTGCACTACATACCCGACAATATCCAGTACAGTAACACTTCATACCCAACAATCTCCATTACAGTAACACTACATACACAATAATATCCAATAGAGTTGTACTACATACCCAAAAATCTCCATTACAGTAACACTACATACCCAACACTATCCAGTATAGTTACACTGCATACCCAACAATATCCATTACAGTAACACTACATACCCAACACTATCCAGTATAGTTACACTGCATACCCAACAATATCCATTACAGTAACACTACATACCCAACAATATCCAGTATAGTTACACTGCATACCCAACACTATCCATTACAGTAACACTACATACCCAACACTATCCATTACAGTAACACTGCATACCCAACAATCTCCATTACAGTTACACTACATAACCAACAATATCCAGTACAGTAACCCTACAACAATATCCAGTAGAGTAACACTTCATACCCAACAATCTCCATTACAGTTACACTACATAACCAACAATCTCCAGTATAGTAACTGTAATGGAGATTGTTCGGTATGCAGTGTTACTGTAATGGAGATTTTTGGGTATGTAGTACAACTCTACTGGATATTGTTGTAGGGTTACTGTACTGGATATTGTTGGTTATGTAGTGTAACTGTAATTGAGATTGTTGGGTATGCAGTGTTACAATACTGGATATTGTTGGGTATTTAGTGTTCCTGTAATGGAGATTGTTGGCTATGCAGTGTTACTGTAATGGACAGTGTTGGGTATGTAGTGTTACTATGCTGGATATTGTTGGGTATGAAGTGTTACTGTAATGGAGATTGTTGGGTATCCATTACAGTAACACTACATACCCAACAATCTCCATTACAGTAACACTAAATACCCAACAATATCCAGTAGAGTAACATTACATACCCAACAATATCCATTACAGTAACACTACATACCCAACAGTATCCAGTACAGTAACACTACATACACAACAATATCCAGTACAGTCACACTACATACCCAACAATATCGAATAGAGTTGCAAAACATACCCAACAATATCCAATCTACAAACCCAACAA